AGACACTGCGGCTCGGCGCCACTTCAACGCCGACTCTAACTCCTATCATGCCGCCAAGTTTCTGCATCAGTTCAGGCAGCGGTGGTCGGTTGCCCTTCAGAGAGCGCAGTCAGTGGGCCTGCTTATGAAATTGGGTGAGGCGGCAGTAGCTGAGAACCCCCCGGTAGGGGGTATTGGTCATGAGCTACACCTAGAGGATTGCTTTGCTGTTTTGGAGCCACTTGTGGAACTGTAGAGGGAATAGGATGAAAACCCATGATTCTGAACCTGTATGTGTGTACCTACCTGCCATATCAATATACGGACCATAAGAGAGAGAGAGAGAGAGAGTAGGAAGAGAGTAGGAGAAAGAGAGAAAGAGAGAGGGTGAGAGAGGGATAGAGGGAGAGAGAGAGAGAGAGAGAGAGAGAGAGAGAGAAAGAGAGAGAGAGAAGGAAAGAGAGAGAGAGAGGGAGAGAGAAGGAGGCCAATGACGGCATCATGATAAACAAGGTCGTGGGACCTAGGGACGCGAGCACATCGATCTCACCATAAAGCGACTTCCAAGTAAAGAAAAAAAAAAAAAAAAAATCCATGCAAAGTCGTCATGGCCGACAAGTGGTCAAAGTGTTTGCCATCTATCGCGTCTAATCGACCTTGGTTCTTGTTCCTCCCTACAACCTCGGTTGCCTGCCGTTTGCAGAAGGCGAGTGGCACGACGCTCATTGGGACCCATACGAGCATGCAATAACGGACAACATGGTGTCCATCATGCGAAGGCGATTGCGCAACAGCCTCCACTGGTGGCTATCATGGTGTGACAGCAGTTTCATCATTTCCATCCTTGCTAAAGGGTACTGGCTACCATGGAAGGGCGAGGAGCCAACCCCCTTCGAAGCCCTCAATCACGCAGGGGTTCAAGCACACATGGCTTTCACCCAAGGAGCCGTCAGTGACCTCATCGCGTCAGGAGCCGCGGTACAGGTCTCGTCGAAGGCAGCACTGACATGCATTAGCCCGCTCAATGTTGTCGAGCAAAGAGACAAATGCCATCTCATTCTTGACCTACGGAAGGTCAACGCTCACCTCCAAGTTCCAAAGTTCAAGTACGAGGGCTTGGGTTGGGTCGCGGAGATCATTCGCCCAAACGACTGGATGTTTCACCATCGATCTGAAGTCAGGCTACCACCACGTCGAAATCCACTCATCCTGCTAGAGGTATTTGGGCTTTCAACTGGATGGCAAGTTCTATTGCTTCACATCTTTACCTTTCGGCTTGGCAACAGCCCCGTTCGTCTTCACCCAGCTAATCAAGCAACTGGCCAAGAGATGGCGCGCGCGCGGAGTGCGCGTAATTCCGTACGTGGACGATTTACTATTCCTGTGCCATTCCGAGACGCAAGCCCGTTCGACGTGCATCGAAGTTCTCCAAGACCTGAAGGCGGCGGGATTCGTGATAAATGCTAAGAAGTCAAAGCTGCATCCTGCACACCACTTGCGCTTCCTGGGGATGGAGCTCGACACAGAACGAGGGATGTTCCTCATTGGAGAAGATCGGCGTGAGCAACTACTGCAACAGCTCCACCTACTCGTTAAATAAGGGCAATCGGGTCGACAAGTGCCGATTCGCAAGATAGCCCGAATCACCGGATTTCTAAGCTCCATGTCGCTCACACTGGGCACGACGGCGCGTGCCTTCAGCCATGAGCTGCTGCACTTGATCGACTCCGCGCGGTCATGGAACGAGAGGGTCAAATTGTCACAAGTAGCAACGGAGGAGCTATTGTTTTGGACAGTCCACTTCGATCGTTTCAATGGTGCCCCATTCCACCAGAGTCAACGGTTTGATGCCGTGATCCACGTCGACGCAAGCGCACACAGCTGGGGTGCCACCTTGGCCAAGTTCCCCAGTGCATCATGCGAAGCAAGCGCATGCATGCCACGCGAGCTCCTCCGCACATCCAGCACGCGACGAGAGCTCGAGGGAGTGCTCTGGGCACTGCAGACGTTCGCAACCCAAGTTGCAGATGCTCACGTCCTCGTCCGGGTTGACAACCAGGCAGTTATGTTCATCTTGCGCAAGGGGGGATCCCGTCAGGCGGACCTTACGCTGACATGCCAAGCGATCATCCAGTTCTGCCTCGGCAACACCACACGCCTCGTGATTGAATGGATTTCGAGAGAGCTCAACGTCCAGGCAGATGACCTATCCAAGCTGCAAGATCATGACGACTACTCCCTACACGCGCCCTGGTTTCGCCTTCTAGACCGTCGTTGGGGGCCCCACACAATTGATCCATTTGCCAACGCCCGGAACAAACAAGTTCAGCGCTTCTGCTCCAAGATACCGCATCCCGACGCGTTCGCTGTCGATGCATTTTCCATTTCTTGGAAAGGCGAGAGATGCTTTGCCTTCACGCCGCCACACCTAGTCCCCGCTACACTTGGCCATGCCGAACTCACGCACGCGGAACTCATGCTGGTCGTTCCCCAGTGGACCGGGGCGTCATGGTGGCCGCTTCTCCAACCGTCCACCCAAGCGTGGGCCCCAGCTGTAATGGCACACCTTGCCATTGCCCAAGGCAGTCAATGCCTTCGGGCAGGTTCACACACCACTGCATTTTCTGGTCTCGGGTTGCCTCATAGCCCAATCATTGCTTTGTGTGTAAACTATGCAATCTAATACAATCCATTAATGTGTCATTTCAGGACTGTTGGGCAAACTACAGAAACAACTTATGCACGTAATTAGTCACGTTCGCGCACCATCTACAATCGAGACGTACCAACCTTATCGGCAGAGATTTCGCATCTTCTGTACCGAAGTCAAGCTTGACTTCCTACTGGCAACCGACCTGACGCTAGCATTGTATCTCATCGATGCGATCAAGAACAAGGCAACTCTCTCCGCGATAAACCTCACATGTTCGGCAGTGGCCTTCGCCCACCGCATGACAGGCGAAGCCTCCCCCACGATCGGACCATTCACCCTGCAAGTGCGAGAGTTCGCCAAAAGACATGGTCCCTGGCCTGCCAGGACCAAAGAACCAATATCTCTCCATCAAGTGCACGACATGGCCCGTCCCTTCCTCGAATCATCGATTCCTTCGGAATACCAGAAAGGATTGATTCCTCTTCTCATGTTTTCGGCGTTCTTGCGCTACTCTGACCTCGTAACGCTCCAGTGGAATGATGTACAGTTTGAGGAGAAGGCAATGTGGCTGCTCATCCCGCACTCTAAGACGGACCAAGAAGGGACAGGTGTATGGATCCAAGTGGCAGCAATTTCCGGCCCATACTGCCCAGTGCGGTGCACACGCAATTTCATACGTATCGCAGGCCTCACAAAGGTGCCCCATGGACCGCTAATAAGGGTTTTTCCAAAGAACTCGCAAGCCACGCTGGACGACAAATCGCCGTCCTACGTCACGATCAGAAACTGGTGTCTCGCGGCCGACAGGCAGGCTGGACTGGATGTCGCGCACATCGGAACCCACTCGTTCCGCAAAGGCGTAGCCACTGCGGCGGCAAGCCTCGGAGTTCCTGACCGGCTCTTCAAACGCATGGGCCGATGGCGCAGCCACGGCGCAAAGGAGATGTACGTTACAATCGCGCAAGATCAGCTCATCTCCCTCTCCACGCAGTTGCAGGATCCTTCGGTGGCTCCTTCACCCGCCACGCACCAGCTATCAATCGAACGGCACCGCCAGCCCCGTCTGCTCTTGCCTCAGAAGACCCATATGAAATGATAACGCTGCCTTTGCAAGTCAGCCTAAGTAGACTTTCACAATTTGATAATTTTTGAAAGTGTAATGAAATGTAACACTTTCTAAAATTTTGTATTGTGAAAAGGGGTACGTGGCCAACACAGCAAAGGTAGCGCCAAAGCGCTACTCGCCCTCTTTTGCCTACAAAAGAGGGACGTGGGGACATTCGTCCCCACCCACGTTTTCATTTCTCAATTTGTAGTTCTAATTTCCCACCCGCCCACCCCATTGTGTATGCTATTATGTAGACTTGTATACGACGAGAACGATGTACTAGAACCCCTATGAAATGATAACGCTGCCTTTGCCATATAAAATGATAACGTTGCCTTCGCAAGTCAGCCTAAATAGATGTCAAACATTGTATGTTGTGCTTGTTTAGGCTACAGTGGGTTAGCCTATAGTGGGTACACTTTTCTAGGGTTAGGTTTGACCTATTTGTACCGAACTCTCATTCTAGTCATTCATTCTCATTCTGACATGGTATTACGAGCCTAGGTTTCACCTAGGACCGAAACGTTAGGGCCCACCGTTTTCGCTACCCGCGCCCTCGTGCGCCACCTCGTTCTTATGGCCCCCTAAGGCCCTCTCGCGTCGCCCTCCTAAGGCCCCTTGTGGCCCCGCGCTAGCCTCTCACGGCCCCACGATCGGCCTCGCGCTAGCCTCTCACGGCCCCCGATCGGCCTCGCGCGAGCCTCTCACGCCCCCCCCCAGGCCCCGCGCTAGCCGCCTATGGCCCCCGTCGGCCCCGCGCTAGCCTCTCACGGACCCCACACGGCCCCGCGCTAGACCCGAACGGCCCCGCGCTAGCCTCTCACGGCCCCGAACGGCCCCGCGCTAGACCCGAACGGCCCCGCGCTAGCCGCCTCAGGCCCCCGTCGGCCCCGCGCCAGCCTCTCACGGCCCCCCCCGAACGGCCCCGCGCTAGCCCCGATCGGACCCGCGCTAGCCCCGAACGGCCCCCGATCGGCCCTGCCCTCGCCCTGGACGGCCCCGCGCTTTCCCTTCGCAGCCCCACCTGGCCCCGCGCTCGCCCCTCTAGGACCAAGTCGCGGCCCGCGACCCGACCGAGCCGAGCCGCCCTAGCCGAGCCGCGCCGCCCTAGCCGAGCCGCGCCGCCCAGGCCGAGTCGCACCGCCCAGGCCGAGCTGCACTGCCCTACTGCCTCTGCTACTACTACTGCTGCTACTTGCTACTACTGCTGCTACTACTACTTCTGCTACTACTACTGCTGCCACTGCTACTGCTTCAGCTATGGCTAGCCCTAGAGTTCTCTCGTTCGATGCTGAGGGCCACCCGGTTAAGTTTGAGTCCTGGCTAGATGATCTGCACCTGTTCCTCCAACTCACTGCCAGAGAGGATATCTCGCTGTACGATCACGCACTAGGCACAGTCCCTGCTCCTGCTGCTACTGACACCGCTACTGCTCACTCGCAGTGGCAGACTCGCGATGCTCACGCCCGCTTTGCTATTCGCAACTCCCTGCCAGTCGATGAGCGCGAGCACTTTGGTCAGCATCAGACTGCACAGGCCCTGTACACTGCGGTAGTTGCGCGCTACTCCTCCCCGGCCTTAGCTGCACTAGGCCGTCTCTCGCTTCCCTACCTGTTCCCGGACCTGTCCGCCTTCCACACAGTCGCTGACCTCATCACTCACCTCCGTACTAGTGATGCCCGCTTCCGTGCAGCCATGCCCGCTGAGTTTCTTGCCTCCAACCCTCCCCCGCTCTGGCTCACTCTCTACCACCTAGTCACCCGCCTCCCTGACAGTCTGCGTACAGTCAGGGACCACTTCCTAGCTCGCTTCCCCACTGAGCTTACCATTGCCGCCCTAGAGAAGGAACTACTTGCAGCTGAGAAGAGTATTGTAGCTGTAGGTACCTCTCGTGGCGACCCCCGCACCCCTTCTTCGAGGGGTGTTCCCCCTCCCCCCTGCTCCCCTCTGTCGCCTCTGCTGCTGCTGTCGACCTTCTTGGTACTGAGCAGGTCGGCTCTGCGTCCGCTCCCAGCGGGCGCCGCAGCGGCAAGGGCAGGAGAGGCAAGGGCGGTGGGGGTGACGGCGGGGGAGGCGGTGGTGGGGGTGGTGGCAGCGGTGGAGGCGGTGGCGGGGCTGGAGGGGCTAGTGGCAGCGGTGGGGGTGGTGGAGGCAGCGGCGGCGGCAGTGGCCGGGGTGGGGGCGGTGGTGGTGGCGGCAGTGGACGTGGCGGCGGCAGGGGCGGTGGTGGTCGTGGCGACGGAGGCAGTGGTGGTCGTGGAGGCTCTGGCACTGGCCAGAGTACGCAGCACCCTCAGTCCTCCCAGGAGCTTCGTGAGTGGTACTTCCAGCACGGGGGTGGGGGGGTTAGCCTTAGCTGCACTTACGTCATCCGCACTGGTCGTCGTGCGGGACAGACGTGCGGGAGGGCGCACACTGCGCAGCGCTGCTTCTCACGCCTAGATGATGCTTGGCGTACTCAGTTTCCTGACGCTCCTGAGCTCCCTCAGTGGGCTGATCTCCTCAAGAAGGATATCGATATTTATGCTCTTGATTTTGATGTTATTCTCAAAGCCATGTATGCATTGACTATTAGTGGAGAGGAGGACCAGTACCTGTGTGTTCTGCCTGACCCAGGCATCCGCACGAGTGAGGCTGCCGCACTAGGTGCTTGCGTGTCTGCTGCCCCAGGTGCTGGTGAGGCTACTGCTCTAGGTGCTTGTGCGTCCGTCACCCCAGGTACTACTGAGTCCACTGAGGCACTGCACACCTTCACTCTAGACTCAGGCGCTTCGCGCTGTTTCTTTCGTGACCGCACTGCTCTTGAGCCCCTTGCTCGACCAGTCGCTGTCTCGCTCGCTGACCCCTCTGGGGGTCCGGTCATTGCGACCTCCTCCACTGTCCTTCCTTGTCCTGCTGTCCCGTCGGGCACACTGTCAGGTCTCCACCTCCCCTCGTTCTCTACGAACTTGGTGGCAGGTGTGCGCTTCAGGATGGGGGTGTTCACCAGTTCACCCCTGCCTACGAGCGCGTGACACACTGCACGTGTGCTCGGACGGGCCGTCACCTGGCTACCTTCACTCGGCAGCCGGGGTCGGACCTGTACACACTGACCACTGAGTCCCCTCAGGTAGCTGCGTCTGCGTCTGCGTCAGGTCAGCTGTCTGCCCCCTGCTCGTGTCGCTCTCTAGCGCACAAGACTGTCCTCTGGCACCACCGACTTGGTCACCCGTCAGTGCAGCGCCTTCGGGGCATGCACGCCCGGTACCTTGTCTCTGGTCTTCCTCTGGTACTCCCTCCCCTCCCACCCTCCCTTGCTCCTCCTTGTCTTCCCTGTGTCGAGGGGCGGCAGCGCGCTGCCCCTCACTCCTCCTCGTTCCCCCCGACGACTGCTCCTTTGCAGACGCTCCACATGGACGTGTGGGGCCCAGCCCGCGTCCGTGGTCAGGGCCAGGAGAGGTACTTCTTGATCGTCGTTGACGACTACTCGCGCTACACCACGGTCTTCCCCTTGCGCACCAAGGGTGAAGTCCCTGATGTCCTGATCCCTTGGATCAGCCGAGCACGTCTTCAGCTGCGAGAGCGTTTTCGCTCGGAGTTTCCTGTCCTGCGCTTGCACTCTGACAGAGGTGGCGAGTTCTCCTCCGACCTCTTCGCAGCCTACTGTCCTGAGCACGGCATTCGCCAGTCGTTCACGCTTCCGGCCTCTCCACAGCAGAATGGGGTTGCTGAGCGCCGCATTGGCTTGGTCATGGAGGTCGCTCGTACCTCCTTAGTCCACGCGGCTGCCCCCCACTTTCTATGGCCGTTTGCGGTCCGGTACGCTGCGCATCAGCTCAACCTCTGGCCCCGTGTCTCCTTGCCGGAGACTTCGCCCAAACTGCTGTGGACGGGGGAGGTTGGCGATGCGTCGCGCTTCCGTGTCTGGGGATCCCGAGCTTTTGTTCGCGACACGTCTGCGGACAAGCTCTCCTCCCGCACTGCTCCTTGTGTCTTTCTTGGCTTTGTCCCGGATGCGTCTGGCTGGCAGTTTTACCACCCCGCCTCGCACCGCGTCTTCCCCTCTCAGTACGTCACTTTTGACGAGTCCGTGCCCTTCTACCGCCTCTTCCCCTACCGCACTGCCCCGCTCCCTCCCCCGCCTCTCTTCCTCGCGCCAGGTGCTGCAGTGGTAGACCCCCTTCCCCCTCAGGGTGCCGCTCCCTCAGGTGTCTCTCAGGTAGACCCGGTTGAGCCTGCCGAGGTAGCTGTCGACTCGCGTCCTGCTAGAGGTGCTGAGCCTGAGCGTGCGGAGCCTGAGAGGGCGGAGCCTGGGGATGCTGAGTCTGGGGGTGTTGAGACTGCGGGTGCTGAGCCTGGGGGTGCTGAGCCTGGGGGTGCTGAGTCTGGGAGTTCTGAGCCTGGTGTTGCTGAGTCTGGGGGTGCTGCACCTGGAGTTACTTAGCCTGGTGGTGTTACAGTTGACTGTGAGGCGCCTGGAGGACCTCCCTCTTCGCAGCAGCTCCGTGAGTGGTACTCACGGTACTGCAGCCTCCGGCGGGGTGCGTCTCGGGCTCGTGGGACTACTGGAGGTGGTACCCGTGTTTCCCCGCCACGGCGGGAAGCCGCCCTCTTCCCCACAGCTTCGGGAGTGGTACGCTCGACACATCAGTCTCCGGAGTGGAGCTGCTGGTGCTGGGGTCCCCGGAGTTGACGCTGCTGCGGGTGCTGCTGACCCTGGTGCTAGAGGTGCTACTAGTACTGAGGACCCGGGCGTTGGAGCTGCTGCGGGTGCTGCGGACCCTGGTCCTGGAGGTGCTGCTGCTGCTGGAGGTGCTGCTGGTGCTGCTGGAGGTGCTGCTGCTGCTGCTAGAGTGGAGGACCCGGAGGGTGGAGCTTCTGCTGGTGCTGAGGACCCTGCCGTTGGTGTCTCTGCTGGTTCGGGAGTTGCTGCTCGGCCACGGCCGTACTTCGTTCCGCTCCTTCAGCAGGTTCTTGGTCAGCCTCCTCCTCCTTGTCCTCCTCTCGCCTTAGAGTGTCCGCCGTCAGTCCAGTAACAGCCACAGTTACTACCTGCCTCCTCACTCCCTGTGCCTGCTCCTTACACTGGTCCGACTGGAGGTCTTGCTGAGCGACGTGAGCCTCCGTCACGTCCTGTGTCACCTGCGTCTCGTCGAGCGTCGCCTGTTCGTGCTGCAGCCACTGGTAGTCGTGTCCCGCGTCAGCGTCCTCCTGCTGTCCCAGGCACTCACCAGATGGCGCTTCGTCAGTCCACTGCTCCGCAGCGTGTCGCTCTCCCGTCGCCCTCCTGAGTCCTCTCTTCCTGCGCTTGCTGACCCAGAGTCAGACACCCTTCGCGCTGCCAGTCCTACTGTCACACGTCTTCTGGCTACGGTTGTCTCTGACCCTTCCTTTGAGTCCGCTGCTGCGTCTACCTTAGTCACTGAGCTTGTCGCCTTTGCAGCTGCGTGTCGTCTAGACTACGCTGCGAGTCTTGTTGCTGAGTTTGAGCTGTCTGTCCTCCGTCCGTCGGGGGGTGAGTGTGCTCTTGGCACGGACGTTCTTGAGGACAGGCAGGAGGAGTTTGGTTGCCTTGCCGCTGCTTTGCCCCATCTCGTGTCCATGCTTGTTGCCCCCGAGGGAGACCCGGATGCACCAGACATCCCGACCCCACGCTCTTACGCAGAGGCGATGGCCGGTCCCTACTCCTCTCAGTGGCAGTCAGCCATGGACACAGAGATGGCTTCCTCGAAGTCCACAGGCACCTACGTCGACGAGGTTCCCCCACCTGGGGCGAACATCGTCAGTGGCATGTGGATTTTCAGGGTGAAGCGGCCGCCAGGTTCTTCGCCTGTCTTCAAGGCGCGTTACGTTGCGCGAGGCTTCAGTCAGCGAGAGGCAGTTGACTTCTTCCAGACCTTCTCCCCCGACCCCGAAGATGACCACTCTTCAGGTTCTGCTACACGTCGCCGCTCAGCGTGACTACGAGCTCCACTCTCTTGACTTTCAGCACTGCTTTCTTGCAGGGCAGTCTGCACGAGGAGATCTGGCTGCGCCGCCCACCTGGCTTCACTGGGTCGTTCCCTCCTGGTACCCAGTGGAGCCTCCGGCGGCCAGTCTACGGTCTCCGCCGGGCGCCTCGTGAGTGGCACGACACACTGAGGACTACACTTGTGGCTCTTGGGTTCGCTCCTTCTACTGCTGACCCGTCGCTGTTTCTACGCACCGACACCTCACTGCCGCCGTTCTACATCCTCGTGTACGTCGACGACTTGGTCTTTGCCACTTCTGACACAGCTGGTCTCGCTCACGTGAAGTCCGAGCTGCAGAAGAGACACACGTGCACAGACCTGGGTGAACTGACAAGCTATCTTGGCTTGCGGATCACCCGGGACAGAGCACGCCGCACCATTACCCTGACTCAGTCACACATGGTGCAGCAAGGTCCTTCAGCGCTTCGGCTTCACGTACTCCTCGCCTCAGTCCACTCCTCTGCCTACGGGACACTCGCTCTCAGCTCTGCCTTCGGATGAGTCCGTAGAGCCGAGTGGTCCGTATCCAGAGCTTGTGGGCTGCCTCATGTACCTGATGACCTGCACGCGACCTGACCTTGCATACCCTCTCAGCATCTTAGCACGCTATGTCGCTCCCGGCCGTCACCGGAAGGAGCACATGGATGCAGCTAAGAGGGTGTTTGCGCTACTTGTGCAGTACGTCGGGCATGGGGCTAGTGCTTGGAGGGCGAGACCGGCCTGTTCTTACTGGGCACTCAGACGCTTCTTGGGCAGACGACCAGGCTACTCAGCGGTCGTCCCAGGGTTACACCTTCAGCCTTGGCTCTGGCTCTGTCTCATTGGCGTTCTACTCGCTCTTCTTCTGTTCTCAGCTCGAGCTGTGAGGCTGAGATCTACGCCACGGCCATGGCTGCCCAGGAGCTTCGCTGGCTCACCTACCTGCTGACTGACCTTGGAGAGCAGCCTCGTTCTCCTCCAGTGCTGTACGTCGACAACAAGGCCACCATTGCCTTGTGTGGGAGCACAGACTGGAGCACAGGACGAAGCACATTGCTCTACGCTAATTTCTTGCTCGAGAGTTGCAGCAGCGAGGTCAGCTTTGTCTGCGTTACGTGGCCACTCGGGCCAACACTGCTGACGTGTTCACCAAGGCGCTTCAGCCTTGTGACCATCAGCGCTTCTGTACTGTTCTAGGCCTCGTGCCTACTGTCCCTCATTTGCTCACTTCTTGACTTTGCTTGTACAGTGATCTCTATATATATATATATACCTGCATGCTTACTCTTGCTAGGTTGTGATCACTGTATCTCTTGTTCTTTTATAACTCTGCATGTGAACTGGTCTTGTGACCGCTTGCTTGTGCTCGGAACTTGTGTGGGTATCCTCGAGATCCACCCTGAGCTTTGCTTTGCTTTGACTGGTCTTGTGACCCCTTGTTCTCCCCCACTTTGCCTATGGGGGTGTGTCAAACATTGTATGTTGTGCTTGTTTAGGCTACAGTGGGTTAGCCTATAGTGGGTACACTTTTCTAGGGTTAGGTTTGACCTATTTGTACCGAACTCTCATTCTAGTCATTCATTCTCATTCTGACAGTGGACTTTCACAATAAGGTGGAAATTTTTTTTGCCCTGTGCTAATCAGTGTGTTTTTGCTAGTATCCTGTCTTTGTAAGGCTATTTATAGCAACACCCTGTTTGCCAGAGAAAATCTATATGCCACTACTCAGGCCCTACGAAGACAGAATTTTTTCTCTGATTTGCACAAAAAACTCTGATATTTCAGATTTTTTTTCCAGTGTACTCGGTTAAAATCAGACTTTTTTGGGCCCAAACTCTGTAATTTTCAGACTTTTTTAAGGCTAACTCGGAGAGTTTCAGAGTTTTCTGAGAGTGTACTCTGATCATTCAGAGTACAAACACGTCCTTGACAGGTGATTCGGACTTACGGGTCACAACAGATTCGCAATGTCAACGCAAAATCGCCTTGACACAACAATCCGAGCCTTAAAGCACAAGATTTTGCCCAATCATAGCAAAATCGCCCTGACACAACAGATTTGCGCTGCCAGAGCACAACAATTTTCGACCAATCACAGAAAACTCGCCCTGACATTGCAGATTCGCTCTTTCGCACCACCAAGAATTCGCCCTAACACATATATTCGCCCTGTCAGAGCATGTTTTATCGGAAATCCCCTTAGTGTTGTGTGTTTCAGTAGCAGATGAATGAAACATTGATTACATTCCGGATGAAATATTGAATACATTGTTTTTGAATGATCAGACTTTTTTTTTAGGACACTCTGAAATTTCAGCCTTTTTTTTTTAATACCAACTATGAGATTTTTCAGACTAAAATTGTGTACTAGTCTGACGAATCAGACAAGCCAAAAACGAATCTGAGGGCCTGCCACTAGTGCTTCCCCTACATGCAACCATGCACTAACCCACCACGAACAAAACATTGCATCAGTCAGTCTCGGGTCCCTCCTAGTGGTCTGCACTTGCAGTTGTGTCAGGGACTGCTGCAAGGTTAAACTGAGTATCGCTTGGGTTGCTGCTAGTGAAGTCTCGGATTGGCTGCCTGTTTCTGTCGCCACGGAAGATGCGTGCGACCTCGAACCAGTCCACGGTGTACTCTAGGAGAGAGCAGCGCATGAGGTGTCTGAGATGCTTCCCCGGCCCCCACGTCTTGATAATGTTCTGCTTGCTAAACCCCTCTCGCACTCCACCGTGCTCAAAGGCACAACGACTGCTGCCACAGAGCATGATGTAGGTGGCCCAGGAGCGTTGCCACTGGTCGTCGCACAGAGTGTGGTGTGGTCGTCATAAACTTCCGTGGTGTGGTCTATTTTGTCGAGCTGATAGTGCGACAGTGACTAGTGGGGTCGGTTTGTAAACTATCTCGGGCTAGTGGCCAGAGGGCCCTGTTGTACAGATTCGACACGAAGAAGTTTGTTTCAGTGCATTTCTTAAAGTACCCTGACGAAACAGGGAATTCTCAGGAGGCTTGATTTTGAAAGTGTATTTCAGAAAGTGCACTTTTACATCAGGGTCAATTGGTAAATACACTTACTGAATCAGGGCAATCCTAGAAAAGCGGCCCTACAGCAAGGGTAGAAAGGGTAGAAACACCCTTGAATTTTGGGCCCTGTTCCCTTGTACTCTTATAAAAGACCTGTATCTCTTGTTTTAATCAATCGACTATGCCCTCATATACCAGCGCAAAGGTGGTTCACAATCTTGTCATTAAACGCTTCTGAGAAGAATAGAACGATGAATGAAATGAACTATGAACGAAGTGCGTACAAATAGGAAACCTTGGGTTGTACCGCCTATGGGATAACCCCATTATAGCCTACACAAGTAAGTAAGCTATAATGTTCTGACACACCCCCATAGGCAAAGTGGGGGAGAACAAGGGGTCACAAGACAGTCAAGCAAAGCAAGGCAAAGCTCAGGGTGGATCACAAAGTCACCACACATTTCGAGCACAAGTTCAAAGCCAGAAGGCCAGTTCACATGCAAGATCACATATGTAGGTATACAAAAGGCTAAGCAAGCAAGAGCAAGAGTATATATATGTGACAGTACAAGCAAGGTCAAGAAGTAAGCAAGTGAGGCAAGACAGGCACAAGGCCCAACGGAGTGCAGAAGCGCTGATGATCACAAGGCGCAAGTGCCTTGGTGAAGACATCAGCAGTGTTGGCCTCAGAGGCCACGTACGCAAGCCGCAACTGTCCATGCTGCTGCAGCTCACGCGCAAGAAAGTAGCGGAGAGCAATGTGCTTTGTCCACTGCTCCAGTCGCTGCTCTCGACACAAGGCCAGCATGGCCTTGTTGTCTACGTACAAGACTGGAGGAGAACTAGGGCGGCTCTCCAAGGTCGGTCAGCATGTAGGTGAGCCAGCGAAGCTCCTGGGCAGCATAGCCCTGGCGTAGATCTCAGCCTCACAACTGGAGCCAAGAACTGAAGACGAGACGAGTAGCCCGCCACGAAACAGAGCCGGAACCAAGACTGAAAGTGTAACCCTGTGACGACCGCTGCGTAGCCTGGTATCGTCAGCCCAAGAAGGCGCCGCCGTTGCCCAGTGAGGACCACTGGACCTGCGCCCCTCCAAGCACTAGCCCCATGCCCGACGTACTGCACAAGTAGCGCAACACCCTCTTCGCTGCATGCCATGTTTCTCTGGTCGGTGTCCTCCCCAGAGAGCACATAGCCTGGTGCAATGAATGCTAAGATGGGTATGCAAGGTCAGGTCGCTGTGCAGTTCATCAGGGTAATGAGGCAGCCGACAAGCTCTGGATACGGGCCACTCGATCTACGGACTCATCCGAAGGGCAGAGCTGAGAGCAAGTGGGCGAGTAGGTAGAGGAGG